CCCCTCTCTCTCTCTCTCACTCTCACGCCCTGTCTATCTCTCTCTCCACATGTACCCTCGCTTCACATCCATTGCCATGTTACTCATTCCTGCCTACCTGCTCTCTGCCCGATCAATTGGTCGTCCGTCAAGGTCAGTATCTTGACCCTGGCGTCCTGATCTTGACCTTGAAGGGGTCAGACCAAGGCGCGGTCTCCAAGGAGACGGGGTGCGTGAGTAGCGAACGTTGGACGTACCGGGCCTACCACTGTAGATGTTTTCACGGTAGTAACCAGGGCTACCAGCGGGGGTGCACTCCTTTGGGCCAGGATACCTGCAGATGTATTTATTTATAATGTTGTATTTGTTTTGATAGGAGTTTTACGGCACTTGCAACACAATAAAGTCATATAACTGACTTGGGTGTTAAAAGAGAGCAACTCTTACAAACAAGAAAGAGGAATGATAAGGACAACAGATGTTTGATAGGAAAGAAGGAGCAAACCACACCAGAGCATCCACCAACCACCTGCTGTAAAGTAATGTTTCAGAATGAAAGGAAGGAGGACAATGAACGGTTGTGGATAAATGAAGCAACGTATGATTCGATGGCTTCAAAGCAAAAGGAAGATCATGAAAACGATGGATCGACTGAGTCAAAGAGACCAGACCTTTCAGTTTCTTTGATTTTGTTCAATGTCGCATATTTGAAAAACAGTTTTGTTTTTATAATGATTGCCCGAACACAAGTCACTCACTTTGCCAACTGACTTAACTTGAAAATAGTTTTCTTGAGACTGAATTTTATGGAAATAGTACTGAGTAATTTTGTCAAGGGGACTGTAGCCGTTGGATAGAATCGGCAATCTCATTGATAGGATGACCCAAGATCGCCCCCACACAACCCATGCAGTTCTTATCACTAATTCCATGTGTACCCTCAGAAGGATCGAAAAAGGTTTCATGAGAACGGAATGGATTCAAGCTATCGAACCAACGCCTATACGATCGCTCACATGGATTTTCTGCCCTGGCCATGCAGGTGTTAGGGGAAATGAAAAAGCCGACAGATTGGCTGGTGAGGCCACCTTAGTTGACAATACG